TACCTGAACAAATTCCTTAAAACAAATCTCTTTTCTCTCCCTTTATATATATATCCTATTGGTTCTGTTTCTCTGAGAACCCTCACTACTACAACATGATTATATATTGCAAATTCTGCAAATTTCTATGTATAATAAATCTCACTTAAAAAAAGAAACAGTATTTACCTAAAAGTGTCATATTTAACATTTGTATATTCAGAAGTCATAGTCAAAATGTCTTTAGGATCAAAAGAAATAATTGCTTTAAAATTTTTATTTAAGAATAGAATCTATGATGGCTGAGGTCATGAAATTAATAATTTGGGATTATGATTCCCACTGCAAAAAACAGAAACAAAAAACCATGAACACTCTTTCAATAGGTAGCTAATAAATGATGGCTAGAATTAAAGCTGAAATACTTCTCTGGTCCAATGGTTATACAGAATCTGCTTGGTTTTCCTCCCCAGTGTTGCATTTCAATTCTAATTGCATGATCAAACTAACAAATTAAGCTCCAGACCCCTCCCCCGCCTGAAAAAAAAAGTACCTAGCTGACGAAATCAAGGGTGTAAGAAAATGCTTTTCCAGTACAAGTAATGTAAGAAACAAATGAAGTGAAGGAGAGGTTTCAGCTTGAAAGACAGTCATCAATATGGACAGATTACTGTAATTCTGGCTGCCGGCATGATCGATTTGGGTAGCATATGACAATCAATATTGCCCCATTTAGTGAACAACATTAGATTCATGGTTACAGAAGATGTTCCTAGGATAACATTTAAACTGTATTTAATGATCATAAATAGCACAATTTATGCTGTGGAATCTTAGTGGGTACTTTTATTGGGCATAAAATAACTGACACAGCAGTACAATTACCCAAATATAATCAAGTTGATTTTTTTTTTAATCCCTTCATTTCTTTTATGAGGAGTAAAGGATTAACTGCTGGTTTCCAAAGCCTACTTGTATCGCAATTTCTGTTGTAATTTATGTTAACTAAATTGTTGACCAATTTTA